AAAAAAATACGGTAAAATAACAGAACGGACTGGTCGTCGTCCGGTCACGAAACGAACGTGGCGGACAGCGCTAGGACTCCACTCTCTATACCATAAACGCGGTCGCGGACGCGGTACCTAGGCAGAGGCGATCTCAGGATATTTCAATGGAGGGGGATGAAAAAAATTGTTACATAATAAGTCAATATTGAAAACACATAATATCGAAAGTAGACAAAACGTGTATTACTAAGATGTAAGAAAATAAAGAACCTCCGGGGGGGAGGGATCTATCCCCCATATCCCCCCCGTGAGAACGCCCATGTGCCTAGGACTAAGGTGAAGCGTCGCGTGAGTGTTTAAAACTCTCAGTGCGGTATTTCGATAAAAATTAAATACATATTCTTAGGTATACTTAGGTCACCCAGTAGGCAGAAAAATTTTTCCGTTTTTGGACACAAGTCTAATCGTCACGTGTTTTGTATTATTCTTACCATCATCGTAATTATATTTATTTTTATAGACGCACAACGGACATACTATTATTAACATACTTAGTACTTAATTATACTTGCAATGCCRCAAAAACCGAAATGACATCGTCKCACTACGTTGCGGGCAATGTATCTACCTATATGGAAAATAATCGGTGACCGAATCAAAATGCATCTAAATTTATGAATTATTAAAATCGAACAGCTGAGCTTGAATTAATTGCGTTTTAAATTTTACAGATTCACATATTATTATMTTTTTTCAGGTATTTTATTAATCACCATCAATATATTGCTTGATGGTGGTTTAAGTCAAAAGTCACATCAATATGAGTTTCAGACGTTTTCAACATTGGCTGATAACATTCAGACAGAATAATATTTACAAAAGTTAAATGCCAATAAATAAAAAAAGCGTTTCGCAGTAGATATACATTAAATGCGGCTAATAGATTTCTCTGATTGGACAAATTACAATAGTARAMATGAAAGTTATATATTGTGTTAATCACATTTAGCAGGGTTTTAAAACTTCCGTTTTTCTATACTTACATCAACCGAGAAACCGAATCTGCTGCACAATTCAGATATACTATAGGTATTACCTATCATATTTACATTATATACAAATTAAAGACGTATAMGAATATTTTTCTAGGGCTTAACATATTATTATACGTTKAATAAGATATAAATTTGAAAATATTTAAAGCTACAAWATACGATACTTATAGGCATAATGCAATACAACTGTTCCAGAAATAAAAATAAAAATTTTAATGTCATGATAATATTTGATAAATAACATTATTTGTAATGTTTGCTATGCTTGGTTTTTTTTTTCTTGTGAAATAGTTCTGGATCGAAATTTCACCAATCCGAGTGGAGCATATAATATGCTCTTRYTGATATAAAGGTAGGTACACATTTTTTTCCTATACTATTTCTTAATCATTTCGTAGTAACCAATAAGTGGGCTGCACTGCCATACTATAAAGAAACGGTAGACGACCTCATAAATTTACATTTTTTAATTTAAAATTCATGACAAATCCATTATAAATGCTCACACTGACATCCTATTGACACGGTGAAAAACCGTTAAAGTAGAATATTTTTCTTATAGGTATCTATATATAGGTAGGTACTTCTACCTACTTATAAAGCAATATAAAAAAAAGCAATAAGACCCTCGGTTTACTACGTGTGACAACAGAGCTGGAAAATTATTTTTGCTTTTGGAAAACCTGAAACGGACAATTTTTTTTGSACTTTGTCCCGAATCGCTTACACGACGACTGCCGCGTATAACTTGTTACAATAACTTTTGCTTTTGCCTTGGATTTCGATCGACCAGATTATCGGTCGATGATTGTTCTCTGTACAGATTAAGAATTTGTTTATCACACTGAACTACAAGCACGAAACAACAAGGCGCTCGTGTGGTCGACTCTTTGACCTAAAACCATAACATGTAAACACGTCAACAACTAATCGCATATACAATCTGTAATTGTAATATTGTAATACACGATTTTTCAATCTACTTACATTTGTACGGCAGCGCACCGAAAGTGCGGTCTGATATCTGATTACCTATAATACAGTAATCGCGGTGTTTAACGATAAAAAAAAATTTCAAAAGTTTATCGGTAAATCACTATATTATTATATCGTCATGTTTGAAACTCGCGTAGTAACCGCGTATATAAGTAAGAAAACTATTATCGGCTGAAATTGTTTATACATTTTTTCTCCGTTTCGAGTGTATACTATTGACACGACACCCCGAAAAATGTTCGTATAGATTTCGCAATAATAGAGCATAATATTATATATATATATCCTATATACATGTAAACGAGACTATAGTACATAACACATAATGATAAAATACGTGAGATAAAATCGTTTTAGGTTTTTAATTTTTTTTTTTTTTAAGTACATATTATGATATATACATACATTGCGAACAACACAYATATATATAATAAAGTATACGA